TTCCTGTCTCTGCAAACGGCCATTTATCGCGAAGCAAAAAGTTTCTTTCGCGCATCCTTCGCGAACTGCATGTGTATCTTTCGCGCAACCCATGTTGAGCAATAACTCCGCTTATGAAGATTCAATCGGCACAGGCCAAATCACACCAAATTAGCACGGAAAAGTGCTTCATAGCCTTGCAAACATTGTGCTAGCATCACGGAATCCCCTTCGCGAACAGGTTCTTGCTGCTGAGGAACTTTTTTAGCAAGGCTTACTGGGCCACGCCCTTCAAAATGCCCTTTAACTTTACCTAGTCTTTTGCAGCACTTGCGTGCAACTGTCGTGCAAAGACTTGTCTCCGCAGACCACAGCCAGGAGCACGGGGGGGCGGCAAAGGAAAAGCAAACACCAGGTGCCTTGGTGTTTGGCTCTTGCAAAGTGTCCCTGTTCGAAGCTTGGCTGCTGCATTTCGCGGTTGTTTCTTGAGACTTCAGAAAGCAACGTTAGGCAGGACCAGCGGCAGGTGCAAGGATGTGCTTGGCCACCATGGTATTTGGCTCTGGCGAAGCGTGACCTTCGGAAGCTGGCTGCTACCTATGAAGGGAAAAGCCAATGTGCGGTCCCAGTCTCCTGCCGGACCCCCGACAGCAGGGAGGCGGTGGTAGCCCTTAACAAGCGGTACTGTAGACAATGAGGATGATGCATTCTAGCCACCGTTCGCGACACTTTCGCGAAGCAAACAGTTTCTGTTTCGCAAACAAACTTTCGCGCGGGGTCCCAGCACAAATGAACTGTGTTTGCAATTGAAACTCGTTATCAGGACCTTCAGATGGATCACCACATATATATGTTTATATGCAGAGATATATTTCGATATATCGATAGTGATAAATCTTGAATCAATGCGTACAAAGAAGAAGGATTGCCTATGCAAGACCAACCACGTAGATAGCGGTCCAATGAGTTCAGTTCATCCAAATCAGGCTCGTGGGTGCCCAGACCAAGGTGGCCTACAAAATGTTTGACTGCAAACACGATCTGCTGCAAAGCTGCCAGGTCTACTGATGATCAACTAGAAGCTACGTCATGCTGCTGCCACACGATCGGATTAGTGACAAAGGTGGCCTACATGAACTGCAACTTTCAACATGAGATAGAATGTCGTTACAAGGTAACCCAACGGAGATGCACCTTTGCAGCCCAAACGTAAAAATGTCCTTGGTCTGCCGCATCTCGCCAGCGTGCGCCCCGTGCCCGACATGGGGAAAGATTGGGCTGAATGCCCTTGAAACGGAGCGCCGTGCATGATTGCCAGTCGACGGGGCGGGCGAATTCCAGGAAGCAATGAATATGTAGACGGCCAGCATCCTCCGAACGCAAACTTGATTCCATCGTGGCACTCCATTTGCCGACCCACTCACACGTTGCAAGCCAAGTAAGGAACTCATCGAAATCCGCCAGCTGCAGCTGCAAGGAATTGTAGGTTACCAACACTGCTCGTGCTCGAAGACGAAAAGGGCGGGCATCACCTGTGAAAAATGTGCAACAATGAAGTGGCTGCGACTAGGACTCATGACTATACCCCTTCTAGTTCAGTCTCTCCCATCTGCATGCAAGGCTGAGGCTTGCCTACTGTCACTGATGCATGTCATGTCCATCCACTGCTCTAGGTCTCTTACCCTCCGGAAAGCACCGTCCCGGATGCAGGGACAGAATGGCAACTACTTGCGGTCTGACCTGGTCCTGGGGCTGCTGCCATATCCACATCCTCTTGGGTCGATGCTGCTGCACCAGCTTCGTCTGCTGCTGCAACGCCCTGCAAAGCTGATTAGAAACAGTGTGAACCAGAAGGCCGTGCAAACCCAGCGAATGGTAGCACCAACCAGGACGGCTGAGCAAGTCGCAGCAGGGTGAGAAATGTGAAAAGTGACCCGAACAATGGGTCGCAGTCTTTAGCACCCGACAAACAGGTGAGGCACCTCATAGAGGTCAATGATGTCTCGCAGCTTCTGAGTGTCACTCGGAGACAAGGTGCAGTTCTCCAGGCGCTGTCGTTGCGCTGCAAAGTCGGCGCGAGACAATTCACCCCGAAATTTCGGCACCTCGAGCTGGTTGGCTTGCAGCAGTTCCCGCAACGACCCGCACGCAGCACGCTTCCGTGTCGTGGAGGATCTCATGGCTCGGCCCAAGTGCAATGCGGAAACATCCTGTTTGCATGGCATGTCTTGGGTGCAAGGCTCCAATGCGATGTGCTACGTCAGTTGCTTGCGACACCCCGCTTTGCTGTCAGGTGGCCCATTTCCTTTGGAGAGGGCTTGACACTAGAAACAGCAAGGAACTCACCACCACGTCCTTAAAGCAGAATGCAGGTCACAGGCTTGAGCATGAAAAAAGCACATGGAGCAGATAGTCTGCTAGGATTCCATTGTCACAAACAGCTGGACGTGCATATGGCCCACAGGTCTGGAAAAAGCGTGTCGACCGTTGACACCCAGGAATGCTGCTGATGATTTCCGCTAGAGAAATGTGACTGGTAGAGGCACGTGTCTGAGTAGCAATATCTACAGAGACGGTCTGCCCCAGAAACAAAACCGCTCACGGCCCATGTTTTCACCCGACGTGACTGCAGTTCTCTCCGGCTGCCGCTTCGCACACGTGCGATCCACAGACGCCATGCTGCGACAGCACTGCAAAAAAAAGGAATGGAAGCTGGAAGAAGGGGTGGAAAAGAGGTAGATGTGATGTGGGAACATGGCCGCTGCAAATGATGGAATGGGAAGGATGTGCATGGGGGTAATGTCTTAAAGCTGCTGTTGCTGCTGCGCGCGACAGTACGCAATTACTATAGGCGGGACCGCAGCGGGACCGCGGCGGGACCGCAAAATGTGGGAATTCCCACGATTCCAGGTTGCAGGCGGGACCGGTCCCGCCGTCGGCGGGACCACTTTACCTGTGAATTTATAGGAGCGGGACCGCATACCCCGTTTGGGAATTATAATAATATACCAGGGGGGGTCAGGTGATGTTTTGGAGGTGGGGTGTGGGAAGATTCTTGGGGAGGGGAGGTGATGTTTTGGAGGTGGGGTGTGGGAAGATTCTTGGGGAGATATCTTGTCTATCTAGCGTTGTATCCCTGGATGTCTTCTAAATGGGGTCTCTGGACCGCGCATGTCTTCCAAGCGCTTTGTCTTCGACATGGCGCTTGCAAGTCTGCGGTTTCCAGCTTTCACTCCTGCCGCGCTATGCCTTTGGCATTGGGATTTTCAGCCTTGACATGGTCTCATTCCAAGCGCTCTATGTCTTGACCATGGCGCTTGCAAGTCTGCGGTTGCCAGCTTTCCCTCCTAGTGTCCATGCCTTTGGCATGGTGCTTTCGAACCTTCACATGGCCGCTCTCACTCCAAGCGCTCTATGTCTTTGGCATGGCGCTTTCTACATAGTGCACGGCTTGACTCTACTCATGCGGGCTTGCCATTGGATGCATGCGACGTGCCAGCAGCCACGTCAAATCACTCACATCCAGCTTTCCTGCTTGTCGTAGAAGACGTCTTCGTTTCCTTTCCTGCAGGCTATGGAGTACATGTCTTTCAACATGGGTTCAGCGTTCACATGTCCCACCTGCACTCACGAAAAGACACCGTATCCATGCATTTACATGCACTCTCCTGGTTCTGTAGTTCTTTGGTGGCTGCTGCTAACTGGCGTTTCAAATTTTTGCGCTCTTCCTTCAGCACAGCAACCCTATCAGCCGCGGCCGGTGGGGCTGCAGCTGCCGCGGCGTTTGCATCAGCAGCGGACATGGCACTCAAGGCGGGCGAACAACAGGCTTGCTCCACTCAAACTGCATGCAGTCCTCAAGATGATCCTGTGTTCTCTTTGTGCTTGCCTGGTACCTCCTTTTCACCCCTGTTCACGACCCCAGAAACATGGCTACGAGAATGTGACAAAATGGTCATGCACCGATGTACCCTGATAGTATATGAAATGTGAAACAATGTGAAACAGATTTGCTTTGCCATATCAAACAGGGTTCCGCTATTAATCCATGAGGAGTAATTAACTTGAATCCTGGATTGACGGCAATTTGATGATTTGAGCCATCGAATCATCACAGCTCCCGAGCTGAACTCTGTGCTCAGAGTTCACCTCATAAGGCGCAGTTGAGAAGTATCTCGAAAGGGCTTGATCGGAGTCTTGGCCTGCAAATTTTATCTTCATATGGGTCAAATAAACAACGACCTCACTGATTTCCCTCACTGGAATGATGGTTAGTATAGGGAATTACCCCAAATGACCTTATTTTAGGTGAATTACTATAATTTACCCAGGATCATGATCAATGAGAGAAAGCTGGAACAATTGGAAAACAGCAGCTAGTCTTTCAAAGAATCACACAGAAATGGTCCCCTTTCATAGTCCCCTCAATCAAAACCTTCCCCCGGAAACCATCGCTTTGTATGGAATTTGATGGAATTTGTCACTTTAAAGTAAAGGGGCCCAGTGACACTGGAAGCTTAAAGTAAAGGGGCCCAGTGACACTGGAAGCTTATGTCTATATATATATATATCAAGAATCATTTGTAATTACTATTGTGTACATCTATGTGCATTTTTTTTCTGGTACTATTATTTCTTTGTGCCGTGGTATTGTTATAAAAAAGAACACCAGCCCTGATTTGGGATCTGTGCGCCCTGAGGACTGTGGATAAGGTGAAACCTGAGATCAACCAGTTGCTAGTGCGGCCTGGTCGGATTGGAGGGTAGAGGTGGGTATAGTTTGCTGAGAACTTGTGCGTTGACAGCCTCTTTGTTTGCTGTTCATATTTCAGTTCATCCACTTTCTTTTCTTCTGGCTCAGAGGTGGTTTAGCCAGGTTTGATCATCGAATATACCTCCAAATTAGTCAACTTGGATCATCCTATGTACACTCTACACTGTCATTTTTGTCCATCACATGTTGTACCATTGTTGATATGCCAAGTGGTGGACGCAGACGGAAGTGGCTCAATTTTTTTTTTCGGGACATGGCGTGGTGCGTGGCGTGCTGCACTGATGAGTCGCAGCAACCAGTGGAAGTCATCGCCTCGGAGGTGGTAAAGTCTCCGTCGTTCAAGGCGGTGAATCATGCAGTGACTTAGATGAAATCTGGGTTTGTGTAAGGTGATTTTCTTTACTTTCCTGCGAAAAAAAGAAAAAACACCATTTAAGGGGCAGCTTTGATAGGTTTTGTTTTGCGGGGGCATTTTAAGCAAATCAAGAATTTGCTGAAGAAGAATTGTTGGTTTTCCTCAGTTCATGTTAATTAATTCTTTATGTTAATTCTTCATGGCCCCCTCAATAGCACATCCAAGGCGAGTTCACGGAGTTCGTCCAAAGCGGCAGATTCCGAAGGGAGGTCCTTCACCGTGGTGGTTCCGACCAAGGACTTTAGTACCTTGGGCCTCCAGATGGATGCGACGGAACCTCGTTTTCCCATGGTTTTGGGAATCGAAGACGGAGCCATTCAGGAGTTTAACAAGGTCTACCAGGGTCCAGGCATCCAGCCCTTTGATGTCTTGATGGCCGTAGATGGAACCCAGAGTTGGGATGCCATTCGTAAGAAGATGGCAGGCAAGTTACCTGACAGGCTGTTCTTGAGCCTGCATCGACCACGAAGAATAGAAGTTCTTGTGGAAAAGACAGGGCAGGGAACCATGGAGACCATGGGGATGAGATTGGCTTATACAGATAAATCTGTTGGAGTCTTTGTTCAAGAGATACATCCCAAAGGCCTCATAGCAAAATGGAATGCAGCGCGTGATGCTGGTGAGAGGATTGAAGTGCTGGACCGTATCGTCGAGTTTGATGGCAAAACTTGCACTGGCACCCAGTTGGCCATGCTGCTTGAGGAGCAGAAGACTTGGCGTCTGACGGTGCTGAAGCACGATGAATGTGACAATCAGGTCCTACAAGGCTTGAGTCGTCAGAGTTTCTGATGCCAGGACTGGCTCATTCACATTTGACCCATCGGACTTATGCCTCAGTTTCACTCGAGTCTTGATAATTTAATAGTGTCGTACAGCGGACGGTTTGTCCATAGTGCATCATAGTGCATCCCGGCGAACACACAAATTGGAATTCACTGCGGCGAAAAGAAGAGGGATTGGGGATGGTTTGGATGGATAGTATGTGAAAGTTCACAGTTCATGATGGTTTGGATGTTTGGATTTTGGGTGGTTTTGAGTGTTTTACCATGTGAAACCGGGATTGGTATCCCTCATTGGAAATGGTGTATCATGGTTTAAACACCATTTCCAATGGGTAAATCATCCAATCCCAAAATCCCAAGATCTGAAGATCTGGCGCCAAGGGACATGGGGGCACTGCCAGCCTTGGAGCCCGGTGAAACTGCGCCGCCGCCGAGCCAGGCCCTTTCGAAGATGGGGATGGTGTTTCGAAATGGAGCACCGGTAAAATCGACATAACTATTGAAAAAGGTCCATTTAAAGCTTTAGTTTGATGATTTACCCATTGGACATGATTGGACATGGTGACTTTTAAGAGCTATGATTCCTATGATAGTTTACCGGAGAGTATCCTCCGGTAAAAAATATGGCATTTGGGATATGGCAAATTTATGGCCGTTTACACACAGAAAATGAGGTTTTAAGATTTCAATCCTAAGATCAGATCAATCATATTTCCTGATATGGTATGACTAAGTATACTAAATATGACCTGACTATATATGGTCCCTCACCGTGGAAAATGGATGAACATGGTAATCAATCAGAGGATTTTCCTGTCTTCCTCTTAGTTTCAGACAACCTATATAGAAGTTAGAAAACAACTTCAACATGTTTGGTGTTTTCCCCAATTTTTGGTGTTTTCCCCAATTTTTGGTGATCTGGATCGTGGGATTT